TCAGAGCTTCCTCCAAAAGGTTGTTTTCGTACTCTCTTGGGAGCTTTTCATTCAGTAGGTTCTGATCTATTTGTTCGTCATTCTCGAAAAGCAGTAAACTAATCTTCTCGCTCACTTAGGACAAATCACCATCATTCCTGGAAAGAGAAGAACTATGGCAATCAGATCCCGTGCATAACAGTTTAACAAATATTGCTTCAAGATTTTCAATAGAATTGCAAGCAGTAGACTCATCTGTCACCAAAATCTGGAGGCTCCAAAATCTTATACTCGGAATTCACGCACTTACTCCATGCCAATATTTGGAACATGTTAAGAACTCTTCCAGCCTCATGCATAGGAGCCACACACTGGAGATTACCATTAGCTATAACAGTTGCTGAAACTTCTGCTTGCCCAAAACATGCAAGTCCACTCTGCAGTCTCAGCCTCCTCTCGAGTCTTTAAGAATTTTACAGTAACAAGAACCTATATTTTTTTTCAAAAGAAAACAAGCAAAATCCATGTTTTGATTCCCCAAAAGGACAACAAAATTACTAGTGTTACCTTCACTTCACAACCTACATAATTCCATTTTGGCGCATTGTCAATAATGCTAAAGACACTCATAACATGTACATACAATAAAGAGTGTTTTTTTCTACATCAATTGGTGGAAGCATCATGTTTTTATAAGACTGCACATATAAATCTTAGATTTTGCGATAGATTTAAAAACATATCCCTAAATTGAAACAAATTATATCTTGAATTATTGACCAATTGTAGTTTCACTTCTATATGTCAACCCGCGAAATTAGTAAATTTAATTTAATGAATTCGATTAGTATTTTATAATTGTGAGATATATGTATGTAGGGTTCATACTGGAAAAATAAAAGGCATATGTTCACTGAAGTAGTTTTGTCTCTTACAATCAATGTTCAAGAATTGGTTATACTAAAGAAATAGCGTTTACAATATTCTTTAGGGCTTCAACGGTGGGTAGGCGTTAACAATTTATTTATTTATTTTAATATACTTTTGCATTTTAATTAAAAAAATTCTTTTGTTTTTATTTATAAAAATAAAATCAACTACATAAATTATTTATAAAAATAAAATTGTTTATTATGTTTTCCTTTTTTAAACTCCACTTCTGTTTTTAGCTAATTTCTGATCCTATAAAAATAAAGTGTGAACTGGTCTTCTGGAATTGAATCTAAAGATATTACAACTACATTGTTACCTTGACAGTAGACAAGATCTAATTTTAGTGTATCAGTTCCTCACAGTGTCTGACTGAACTTTTGGACTCAAGAGATCCCAATAAGTGTCTACTCTCTTCCTCCAAGTTTCATGTATGGGGAAGAATAAGATAAGGTGACTACAATTTCTATATCACAGGAGCTTAAATTGCAAAAAAATAAGAGCATGTGCTTAAACATATTGTATATTTTTAATCAATAAAGCTACTGGCGAGGGAGCACCATGTCTTCTTATGTTCCTTCCATTCCAAATAGTATGCATTGTTGCTTGCAATATATACCTGATAGTAAACAGTTTTAACTAACTCAGAGTGTGATCTGTTACCATCTTGATCAAGTCCCTCCCCTCCAATTCATTGTGTATCGATTTCTAAATACTCCCTTCATCAGAGCCTCTCATACCTGAGCTGAATATGAGCATTCAAAGAATAAATGAGTCATTGTCTCCAGCGGTTCTTGACACACCCACATGAAGTATCTATGTTCTCATTCCATAGCCTCATACGATCTCATGTTGGCATTCTCTCATGCATTGCAATCTACATCATAAAAGAGAACTTTGGCGTTGCGTGTCTGAACCATACCGCCTTAGACCATGAGCCATCCTGGTGTTTTTCTCAGGTTATTTGCCAAGTTTCTTTAGATGAGAACTTTTTCTTGTATTTCGCATTCCCATTTCTCCATATAGATATATCTTCTTGCTCCACTCTATTAACTGTATATCTCTCAATCTCCATATCTACTCTGTTCAAAATAGGGTATCTAAGATGTCTTCTCCTGTGAGTTCTGCAAGCCTCGACTAAAGCATTTATTGGTATCCCCAAAACCATGTGTCCTCTGTTGCTTAGTACCTCCATCAAGAAACCCAAATCAGACCACGATTCATATCAGAAACAAGTCTTCCTCCCATCTCTTACTTCCACTTTATAACACTTCTTTTCTACATCCTGACACTTTAAGATTTTCTTCCACATCCATGATCTGATTTATTTTGTTTCTTACGACCATATTGATCATTTCCTAATCAGATAAGCCCTTATCCAATTAATCCAAAGCGAGTGTGATGAAAGAATCCTCCACATAAGCTTTAGACAGCGTACTAG